CGGCAGTTCCCGGATGTGCGGAAAGTCTTCTTCATTAGGTCGGCTTAGAGAAGTCGTGATTCGAAAGATTTTTTTTTCTTCTTCACTATCCTCGCTCTCTCTCTCTCCTCTTCTCTCTCTCTCTCTCTCTCTCTCTCTCTCTCTCTCTCTCTCTCTCTCTCTCTCTCTCTCTCTCTCTCTCTCTCTCTCTTTTTATTTTTCCTTTTTTAGATTCTCCATTATTTCAAAATTCGAAGCACTTTTAGCTTCTTTAGCCTTTAACGCGCTAGTAATTAGTTCTCACTCCAAGGGTAATGAGCTTTTGAAAAGTTTTTTTTTTCGACGTCGAAATGGCCTTTGATGGAACTAACAATATCTTGCTTGCTTTGAGACCGAAATTTGCTCTCTTTTTTGGCAATTGGGAAGTTCGTTCCGCGTGACAGATGTAGAATGAGAGTACATAAAGGGTATAAGTGTGGATGAATAAACTAAGCACGTGTAAATACTGATGAAATTGATTCGAAACGTGTCACTTGTAGCTTGCGAAGTGTTTTTGATCTTCACTGAAGCCGTTTCTACTCGTTAAGATTATGAAGTGCTGTTCCCTGGTGGATAGACGACCTAAGTTAATCCTGATGTTAGTTCAGGGAGTCTGAAGTTATGTAATCTCTATTTCAACTTGAGATTTCCAAATTTTTCTTCCATAAATAGCCCTGAAAGAAAAGAAAAGAAAAAAAAAAACACCACTTTCGATTTCCAAATTTTTTCTTCCATAAATAGCCCTATAAAGAAAACAAGAAAAAAAAAACACACACACACAAAAGAAAAAAAAATTTAATTGAGAAAACAGAATAAAGATAAATAAATAAAAACAGAATGAAAGAACGAAACAAATATTCCATCCTTGTACCTCCATCTCTTACTCAACTCTGCACTCGCATAAATCAAGGACAGCAATAGTTTAATAACACCAAATCCCAAGGCATCTGCAGTTGTGGTATATCATCTGGTCTTAGAATACTGAACTGAATGCCTATGCGACTCAGAGAACATAGTTGTAAATAAATCGCTCTCGCTCTCGCTCTCTCTCTCTCTCTCCTCTCTCTCTCGCTCTCGCTCTCGCTCTCTCTCTCTCTCTCTCTCGTCTCTCTTTCTCTTTCTCTTTCTCTTTCTCTCTCTCTCTCTCTCTCTCTCTCTCTCGTCTCTCTCGTCTCGGTCTCGTCTCTCTCTCTCTCTCTCTCTCTCTCTCTCTCTCTCTCTCTCTCTCTCTCTCTCTCTCTCTCTCTCTCTCTCTCTCTCTCTCTCTCTCTCTCGTTCTTGCTCTGGTCATCTGCGGTGTGTATTTCATGATGAGGTTGTGTCGGTGTATGAGGAACTGGTGGAAGTGTGTGAGGTCAGGGACGTTATCAGTTCATCCTGTTATGTAGAGTTTATTCATTTTGGTGTACTTTTTGACTGTAAGGTGATATCAGTTTTCCAAATGTGTTATGTGCGTTTCTCCGAGACACACACACAACATTACATACACATACACATACACATACACATTACACGCACGCACACACACACACACACATACACACACACACACACACGAACCACACGAACACACACGAACACACACGAAAACACACACGAACACACACACACACACAGATATACTACACACACACTAACACACGCAAACACACACATATACACATACTTTATATATGTGTGTGAGAGAGATCTAGACGAAGTTAAACAAACAAAAAACTTGAATTTCTCATCTTTACCATGGATTATGCTATATACGTAAGTTATTCAATCTCAATGGCACCCTACTGTAATGTGTAAACCTATTGCAAATGCTATTGCAACGGCTCGTGTTAAAGGATTTTGTTTGGTTGGTTCCCCCTGATATGCGACCCCGTTGAAACTTGATTAGATAACCCTGAGGGTAATATGCTATCATCGGTGATTATTATTAACTTTACTATATTCCACTATACTACTATCATTGTATTAACATTTTAATTATCATTACTACTACTGCTACATCATGTTATTAACATTATTATCATTACCACTACTATACTATTGTTATTAACATTATTATCATTACCACTACTACTACTATCATTGTTGTTATGATTATTATTATTACTATCATTATTGTTAATCATTCCTCTTAACAACAAGGATTCCATGTTGTAAGGATTGAGTGCTCTGCCCAGTACGTTTTCTGCGAAAAAAAAATGTTTCGAAGTCTATCTAGATTCAGTTTGGTAGCAAGGAGATACAATACCTCGCTCGCTCTCTCTCTTCTTTTTCTCTCTCTCCTCCCTCTCTCGCTCTTCTCTCTCTCGCTCCTTCTCTCTCTTCTCTCGCTTCTCTCGCTTTCTCTCGCTTTCTCTCGCTTCTCTCTCTCTCTCTCGCTCTCTCTCTCTCTCTCTCTCTCTCTCTCCTCTCTCTCTCTCTCTCTCTCTCTCTCTCTTCTCTCTCTCTCTCTCGCTCTCTCTCTCTCTCTCGCTCTCTCTCTCTCTTCTCTCTCCTCTCTCTCTCTCTCTCTCTCTCTCTCTCTCTCTCTCTCTCTCTCTCTCTCTCTCTCTCTCTCTCTCTCTCTCTCTCTCTCTCTCTCTCTCTCTCTCTCTCTCTCTCTCCTCTCCTCTCTCTCTCTCTCTCTCTCTCTCTCTCTCTCTCTCTCTGTATCTTCAAGTAACTTACCTTAATAGTTGTAGTACAGTATGAAAACTTTTTGACAGGGTTGTGGGCTTTTGATATTAAAAATCAACAAGATATCAACACATCAGCATAGAAAACAAGAATACTCCAATTATTTGCAAATTCTCTCCACATGTGCATTTCCTATCCTTTCCATAATGACTTGTCTCGAATCCAAAACATAAATGCTATATTAAAGTCATTATGGATTCATCTCAGAATACTTGGAAAAATATCTTCGGATGCTTTCCACAGCTCTCACTCAGCATTGTGCATCTAGTCTTTCTTAGCCAACGACCTGTAAAAGTACAATATATAAAAAAAGGTAAAATGCTACAGATATAAATTTTGGGAATGTAATTTAAACCCTCGAGATTTTTTTTTTTTAACAAAATGGCGACCGGTAATGTAGTAATAATAATGAGGATATTAATGATAGGAATAATAATATAGTGCTTGTATGACTAATCAATAAATTTATGACAAAAAAAAAAAAAAAAAAAAAAACTGCTTGGTACATAAGCCTACAATTGAGCATCTTTTCTCTAGCAAGGAATCACTGACAACTTCCTGAAAAGTTCAAAATGATTGCAAGAATCTCATTTTCCTATTAAGATAAACAACCCTTAGTAAAAATAACCATTGCCTTTTTTGTTTGTTTATAGGCCTACAAAGAGGAGTGAGGATCGAAATCATTAAAAACGCTACTTTTTAATTTACCATTTTTTCCAAACCAAAGCCTAATATTGAGAAACACTGACAGAAATCTATTTTTGGATATTTGACCAAAACGTAGTCTTATCATACATCTCATAACCCCATTCTCGACACACGTTTAAAAACAACTCTCTCTCCTATTCTGTACTTAACCTAACTGATTCCCTTATTTGGATTCCTCAATGGCGTTCCTAAATCTTCGTAAATTAACACCCCCTACCACACGTTCTAGCTAATGGCCGACCAAGAGACAGTACAGTAAAGGGAGAGGTCGGGAAGGGAGCTTAACGAAGTGTAAATGGAATACCAGTGGACGCTAATGGAGGTTGGGACGACTGAGTTTGGGAAGCATGTTCACAATTTTAGCCGTTCCCTTCCCGTTCAAGGCGGAAGGTAAATGAATCCTCAATTAACACATCGGTAATGGAACTGCGGGGTCGTTAACGGAACTTAATTAAGCAACGGTAACACGAGTGAACGGTTACCGAACATCATCCACCAGTAACGTTCTCATACCGTTCCTTACCTTTTCTCATACCGATCCTGCACTGTCCTGAGCCGTTCCATTCTATTTACCAAGCTGGCTTTTTTGAACGTTCTGGTAGCAATCTGGCCCTTAATAATAGCGTCCTGATACCATCCTAACAGCACCAATATCGTACCAAACCGTTCAATTGCCTTATACGTTCCGGCCATTGTTATAAATGAGCGCCAAGTCCCAATACCACTCAGTTCACTTCCGGCCGAGGTGGAGTCCACATCGTCGTCATTCTTACCGTCATCACCACTATTACCACTGTTTCTAATTAATTTTTTGCTGTGTTGCAGTTCCTTTCTTCTCCCTTCTTTGTATGTTGGAAATACAGTGTTATTTAAATCAAGTTTATTTATATTACATGCCTTTATTTAATGGATAGTATACCTCCAGTCTGTTTGATATGGAGAAACCAGAAGTAATGAATTTTTTAGAGAAATTCAATGAATTACTGGTCTAAAAATTAATGAAAAAGAAATTTTAATCGAATTTGCTCTCTCTCTCTCTCTCTCTCTCTCTCTCTCTCTCTCTCTCTCTCTCTCTCTCTCTCTCTCTCTCTCTCTCTCTCTCTCTCTTCTCTCTCTCTCTCTCTCTCTCTCTCTCTCTCTCTCTCTCTCTCTCTCTCTCTCTCTCTCTCTCTCTCTCTCTCTCTCTCTCTCTCTCTCTCAAAAGAAAAAAACTTCCATGGCAAAATTTGAATCATGAATGTCGCGAACCCATGGCAATTTATTTATAACAATAACCTAAATTTGTATATATACATATAAATATTCATAAGCAAATGAACAGATAAAACAGCATTTAAATAATAACCAAGCCTTTTGTTACTCTTATTACGGAATGCGATAGAAAAATAAACTATGACATATTTATAGGACTTTAATGTGTTAAAGAATTGATAGTGATAGAGAGAAGAAGAAAGAAGAAGAAAAAAAAAATAACCAATAGTATTTACATATTTTGGGTAGCGATGGCTATATGGTAGCTTTAATGGTTGGTCAAGGGAATTTTACATTAAACTTGTCATTATATATATATTTTTTTCATCAAGAATAATCTTATGATGGTTAATTTATATACTTACACAAAAAACACATGGTTGTACTTCTTCACAATTAAATAAACACATGGTTATAACTTCACAATTAAACACAGGTTATAACTTCACAATTAAACAGGTTTATAACTTCACAATTAAAACAACAAGGTTATAACTCAACCAATAAACATGGTTATAACTTCACAATTAAACACATGGTTATTAACATATACTTCACAATTAAACATGGTTATAACTTCACAATTAAACACAAAGTGGTTATAACTTCACAATTAAACATGGTTATACTTACAATTAAACATGTTATAACTTCACAATTAAATGGTATAACTTCACAATTAAACATGGTATAACTTCCACAATAAACACATGGTTATAACTTCAACAATTAAAACACATGTTATAAACAATTAAACATGTTATTAACTTCACAATTAACACATGGTTATAACTCAATTAAACATTTATAACTTCACAACAAACACATGGTTTAACTCACAATTAAACATGGTTATAACTTCACAATTAAAACATAAACTTCACAATTAAACATGGTTATAACTTCACAATTATATACTTCACAATTAAACATGGTTATAACTTCACAATCAAACACATGGTTATAACTTCACAATTAAACACAAGGTTATAACTTCACAATTAAAACATGGTTACAATTAAACTAACTTCACAATTAAAAACACATGGTTATAACTTCACAATTAAACACATGGTTATAACTTCACAATTAAACACAAGGTTATAACTTCACAATTAAACACAAGGTTATAACTCACATTAAACATGGTTATAACTTCACATTAAACACAAGGTTATAACTACACAATTAAAACATGGTTATAACTTCACAATTAAACAATGGTTATAACTTCACATTAAAACACAGGTTATAACTTCACAATTAAACACATGGTTATAACTTCACAATTAAACACAAGGTTTAAACTTCAACAATTAAACACAATGGTTATAACTTCACAATTAAACATGGTTATAACTTCACAATTAAAACACACGGTTATAACTTAAACACATGGTTATAACTTCACAATTAAACATGGTATAACTTCACAATTAAACACAAGGTTATAACTTCACAATTAAACTATGGTTATAACTTCACAATTAAACATATCTTCACAATTAAAAACATGGTTATAACTTCACAATTAAACACAGGTTATAACACAATTAAACACATGGTTATAACTTCACAATTAAACACATGGTTATAACTCACAATTAAACACATGGTTATAACTTCACAATTAAACACAAGGTTATAACTTCACAATCAAACATGGTTATAACTTCACAATTAAACACAATTATACTTCACAATTAAACATGGTTATATAACTTCACAATTACAATGGTTATAACTTCACATTAAACACATGGTTATAACTTAACTTCACAATTAAACACATGGTTATAACTTCACAATTAAACACAAGGTTATAACTTCACAATTCACAATTCAACAATTGGTTATAACTTCACAATAAAACATGGTTATAACTTCACAATTAAACATAAACTTCACAATTAAACACAGGTTATAACGTTCACAATTAACAAAACACACATGGTTATAACTTCAACAATTAAACATGGTTATAACTTCACAATTAAACATGGTTTATAACTTCACAATTAAACACATGGTTATAACTTCACAATTAAACACTGGTTATAACTTCAACAATTAAACACATGGTTATAACTTCACAATTAAACACATGGTTATAACTTCACAATCAAACACATGGTTTATAACTTCACAATTAAACACATGGTTATAACTTCAGCAATCAAACACATGGTTATAACTTCACAATTAACACATGGGTTATAACTTCACAATCAAACACATTGTTATAACTTCACAATTAAAACAGGTTATACTTCACAATTTGTTATAACTTCAACATTAAACACATGGTTATAACTTCACCATTAAACACAAGGTTATAACTTCCACATTAAACACTTCAATTGAAACATGGTTTTAACACATGGTTATAACTTCAGCACAATTTATAACACAATTGGTTATAACTTAATTACACATGGTTATAACTGAAGTATCTGTTGAGGGAGCGTGTGGTACAGTACACAGCCTCTCAAACTACTCGGGAACGCTGACGAAACTTCTATATAATAATACGTGACCACAAAGACCAGAGATGTTCGTGTGATGTTAACGTAGACCCTATACATTAATTGAATTTCTCTCGCTAATTCCGAGCGTTCATAGCGTGCACCTCGGTCCGGCAGCCTTTCTCGACTCATAAAGCCACGCCTTTTGAGGAAGGATCCCGACGTCCCTATGAGAAATGATCCTCGCTAGACTCTTATGTAATTTCTGACAACTAGTTAGTGAGCTGACAGTCAGAAACTCGAAAGTTCGTAGTAGCGGGGAGATACACACACCCGTTTGGGGAGGGAAACCAAAATAGGGAGTGTACTAAAGTGTTACTGCTTTAATAAGGTCTTTCCCATGCTACAACAGCGCAGTCGATAATGAACTTGTAGAAAATGTCACATGTTTGAAGTATGCTATTAATGATAAAAGTTCGTAGTTAAAATGTTGGAAACAATCGGCAACTAGTCAGTACTTCGCGAGACTCCATAGACTCATTGTTATTTTAACTAAATGATAGATTCACATTGCACAAAGGCGGTTAAATTGCTATTCATTGATGGGGAGAGGGTTCCATGACGCACATGATGACAATCCAACTGTCACTTTTGCGTATCATCCTATATTTTTTGTCGTAAAATGATACGTTAAATTATAATCTTAGTATCTGGCAACTGCTTCCAATGGACACGAACTCGTATCAAAGTCTTTTTTTTTTTTTGGCAGTAGTACTTCCGCTGTTGTAGTGTTTACATATGAAGCACTTCACAAGATTCTACTTTATCACTCC